GGGTCCCCGCACCGTTCGCACGTGACGCTGCCCACTTCCGCCACGATGGCCGCCCCCGGGTTATTACCGATCGAAGGCGTGTGCCGGCGGGTCTAACCTGCTATAAAAGAATCCCATGAGCCTGAATGATGAAGTTCTCAGGTGTTTTTAGATCACGCTTGGTTGCGTTCGTTTACAGGAAGAAGTGAGATGTCTGCTCTGTGTGACCTCCCACTCTCTGTTTGTTCATTTGTTTGGTATCTTTTCTTGTTGCGTTGTCATTTCCCATCCAGCCATTTTCTGAGAGCTTTCCAACGCAGGGTCATGGGGGAGCCAGAGCACCACCCCAGGGGCAGTTTTCCCAGAAGCCAGCTGACCTCCCAGTTCGTCTCTGGACTGTGGGAGGAAACTGGAGCACCTAGAGGAGACCCACATGAACATGAAAAAACAAGCTCCATGCAGACAGCGCCCCGGGTCCGGAATTGAACCCAGGGCCCCAGCGCTGTGTGGTCTGGTACTGTCTGTGTGAAGCCGTGTTGTTCTTCCTGTATTCGTATGTGAGTTTCCTCCGGGTGCTCTGGTTTCCTCCTACAGTCCAAAGACATTCCGCTAGGGTGATGGGCTTCTGGGAAAACTGGCCCTGGCGTGAGTGTGTGGGTGTTTGTGTCTGTCTATCTGGGTGTATCTGGCTTTTTGTGGACCTAGAAAGTGTGAGAACGCAGCCCAGATTGCACCTCCAGTGTCGGCACCCATTCATCAGCCCACAAGCAGTTGGCTGGCTGTCTTGACCGGCGGTCGCCTGTTATCAGGTCCCCTCGGTTATCAGCAACATGCGCTTAAGCCGTCCTTTCTTGTCCTGGTTGATTACTGGCCTGCAGCTGCGGAGGCAGCTGGCTTCCGAGGCCTGGGGGCCGAGGGGACACGACTATTTTTATGACCGGCGCTGACAGGTTGGTCAGTCTGACATTCCCCGAGCTGCGGCTGCCGGAGACACCCCGCTTTGTTTCAGAGTGCCTCGCGCGGGATTCTTCTCCCGCAAGCCCTGAATGTGACATTCCGGCCCCGGCGTTAGGAAGAACCGCCCAGAGGCGAGCGTGTTTGTCAGAAAGAGATCTGCGGGTGAGGCTGGGCCTCAGAGGCTGAGGGCTCTGGTTTTCCTGGAATAGGGCTGCCTCCTCTTGAGCCCCAGACGGGACAGCACGTTCTTCCTTACGGAAAGGCCAGAGCTAAGAGGAAGCCTTGCAGAACCTGGGCCGTTTGAAGAACTGGACACCACGGAAATATGGATGCACACGTCCTGTGTGCATCCAATAACAACGTGATCCAGGTCGTTATTTATTCTGGAACCTTACACAGCGAAATGTTGTGCACAATGTTGGTCTCCACATTATAGAAAAGATTTTGCTTCCCTGGAATCGCTCCAGAGAAGAGCAGCCAGATGCTTTCTGGGACTCAGAGGAAAGTCCTGCCCTGACAGGCTGAGGGAACTGAACCTTTTCAGTCTTGAAAGGAGAAGAGGGATGAGGGGACCTGACACAAGT